AATAAGGGTCGGATACAAAAAGTGGATTATACTATGTGTCTATTCAACTCAAGAGGAGAGGAGACAGAGAGGTGATTTGAACCACTTGAGAGTCATTGTGGTTGGAAACTGAATGAACTTTGAATAGAAAGAGGTTTGGTAATAGGTATTACACATTTTAATAAAAAGAGAATAAGTATATAGGATATGATATATGGCATAATGAAAATAGTTTGCTGGATTATGTCGAAGGGTAGACATTTGAATGTGCATGTATATAGAGGGACAACAGATACATCAGATCACTATTTAGTTGTAGTTTCAATGAGAGTAAAAGATAGATGGAGTACAAAGATAATGGTATAAGCAGGCAAGAGAGAGAGAAGGTTTATAAACTAAAAGAGGAGGCAGTTAGGTTAAGATTAAGCCTAGTCGCCGAGTTTGGCCTAAAAAGCAAGGGTGTTTTCTGCCGTATAAGCAAAGTAAAAATTTTTTATGTAATGTGTAAAAATCAATCTGGCCTTTATAAATATATATATATATATATATATATATATATATATATATATATATATATATATTATATTATATATATATATATATATATATATATATATATATATATAATTGATTTTAAGTAATATTGAACAAGTTTTATATTATCCTACTTAGCTTCTTATGGCATCTGTATCTGAGTGGTCTAAAGTGTCACTTGAGGAGCTATGCCACTTTAGTGTACCTTTTCTTAAAGCTATGTTTCGATCCTGCCTCCACTACATCACTTTCCATATTATTCTACTTCCTGACAACTCTATCACTGAAGAAATATTTCCTAGCAACCCTGTGACTCATCTCAGTCTTTAACTTCCAACTGAGACCCCTTGTTGCTATGCTCCATCTTTGAAACTTCCTTACTCTGTCCACCCTATTGATTCCTCTCAGTATTTTAAATGTCGTCACCATATACCCCCTCCCTCTCCTGTCTTCCAGTGTCGACAGGTTGATTTCCCTTAACCTCTCCTCGTAGGACATGCCTCTAATATCTGGGACTATTCTCGTTGCAAACCTTGCACTTTCTCTAATTTCCTTCCTGATGTGTTTGACCAGGTGTGGATTCCAAACTGGTGCTGTATACTCCAATATGGGCCTGACGTACATTGTGTACAAGGTCCTGAACGATTCCTTACTGAGATGTCGGAATGCTATTTTTATGTTTGCTAGTCGCCCACATGCTGCAGCATTTTTTTGGTAGATGTGCACCTCTAAGATACGTTTCCTTGAGTGCGGTTTGTAGTCTTTGGCCACCTACACTGTACTCTGTCTGCCGTCTTCTTTGCCCTTCCACATTCATCATGACTTCGCACTTGTTTGGGTTGAACTCTAGGATTCATTTCCAGGACCAGCCTTGCCTGGTCCTCCTCAAATTGAATTCTCATCATTAACTTCACATCGTCTGCAAACAGGGACACTACTGAGTCTATTCCTTCCATCATGTCATTCACATACACCAGAAACAGCACCGGTTCTAGGACTGAACCCTGTGGAACCCTGTTCGTCACTAGCGCCCACTCTGGTCCTGTCTGGTCCTCCAGCTTTTCACTAATTTCTTGTGAGGAACTGTGTTAAAATCTTTCTTGAAGTCCAAGAAAATGCACTCTATCCACCCCTCTCTCTGTTGTCTTAATGCTCTCACCCTGTCAGAGAACTTCAGGTGCTTTGTGACACAGGATTTCCCGTCCCTGAAACCATACTGGTTGTCGTTGATAAGCTCATTTCTTTCTAGGTGCTCCACCACTCTTCTGACAATCTTCTCCATGACTTTGCTTACTATACATGTCAATGATACTGGTCTGTAGTTTAATGCTTCGTGGCTGTCTTCCATACCTCAGGTAGTTGCCCAGTTTCAATGGACGTGTTGAAGATTGTTGTTAGTGGAACACAGAGTTAATCTGCTCCCTCTCTCAGGACCCAAGGAGAGAGGTTATTTGGCCCCATCACCTTCGAGATATCTAGTTCACTTAGAAGCCTCTTCACTTCCTCTTCGGTTGTATCTGTTGTGTCCATCACTTGTGCATCCCACCTCTCTGTCTTACTGGAGTCCTTTCTGTCTCCACTGTGAATACTTCTTTGAATCTCATGTTGAGCTCACACACTGAAAGGTTCTTTCTTGTAAACCCCTCTCCTTCCTTCCTCAGGCTGATTGCATGGTCTTTAACTGTTCCTTTCTTCCTGATGTGACTGTACAACAGCTTTGGGTAAGACTCGATTTTTGCTGCTGTGTCGTTTTCGTATTGTCGTTGGGCCTCCCTCCTTATCTGTGCATATTAATGTCTTGCTCTTCGAATACTCTCCTTGTTCTTCTGGGTCCTTTGCCTTTTTTACTTCTTCCATTCTCTAGCTCACTTAGATTTAGCCTCTCTACACCTTTGGATGAACTAAGAGGTCGTCCTGTCCTTGTCATTATGTCTGTTGCTCTTGGGTACAAATCTCTCCTCTGCTTTCTTAAATAATTTTATTATTT